TTTTTGGATACAGGGTCTCACTATGTAGTTGAGACTGACCTGGAACTCACTATGTAGTCCAGGCTGGTCTTGAACTCACAGAGATCCTCCTGCCTCAGCCTCCCGAGTGCCTATATAATTCTTTTAAGTGCTTTTCATTATATTTAATCTCATCATCATCCTTATGCAGTGACATTATTATTTTTCCATGTTAGATAGGAGATCTTGAACATTATAGAGTGGTTAACGTAGTAATTTGCTGATGACCACACTTTTTTTTATTGAGTTTATTGGTACAATCTAGGTATACAGTACAATTGTATTCATTATTGGGATCCTGTACCTTTACATGATAGGTCTTGATTCTTATTTTTTCCCCTTGTCCCTGCCATTCCTTGACCCCCTCCTCCCCTCCCCATTTACAAGCACTCTATTTCCATTTTTTCAGTTTCTCATATTTTTTTCCTCTCCCTTATTACCATTCCCTCACCCTTCCCACTTTCCCTACACCTTTAGCCCTTTACTTCCTATTTCACATTATTAATTATCTCATTAGGATCTTGTGTACTATTATAGTTTATCACTCCAGAGAAACTTCGGTATTTCAGTTAAAGAAATCTCTATATGAACATTAAAAATAGGGAATCCTGGATCACCCGGCGGTGTGCGCGTGAGCTCCCAGCCTGCGCGGGAGCTCCCGGCCTGCGCGACAACAGACCCAGGAAGGACCCAAGGACCCCAGAGGGGGTTTTTAATGACAGAAAACTTACCAGAGGGGAAGAATTTGACATTCAGATAAGTGAGGCATATAGGACCCCAACTAGCCACAATTCAAAAAAATCTACACCTAGACATATAATAATCAAGATCCCAGAAACCCAACAGAAGAACAAAATACTACAAGCAGTAAGAGAAAAGAAACAAATCACATGCAAAGGAAAGCCCATCAGAATCACAGCAGGCTTTTCAACACAAACCCTTAGAGCAAGGAGAGCCTGGAGTGGGATATTTCAAATACTAAAAGAGAACAACCTCCAACCTAGACTGATTTATCCTGATCACACATTTAAAAAATATTTTTATTAGTGCCTATAAATTTTACTAAACACTGAGCTTCAATGTATTTTCACACATGCATATATTTTGACCATACCCATTCCATTATTATCCTTTCTTATACTCTCTACCCTTATTGCCTTCTTTCGTCAAATAATAGTCTCCCTTCTACTTTCATGTCACTGTTTTTTTGTTTTTTTATTTTTTTAGATTCTACATACACAATACCTATGTGAATCTGGCTTATTTTCATTAACATGATGATCTCCAGTTCTACTCATTTTCCTGTAGATGACGTGATTTCATTCTCCTTTATGGCTGAATAATATATCTATATCTACATATGTCTGTCTCACATTCTCTTTTTTATTAAGTTTATTGGTACATTTTAGGTATACATAATGATTACATTCATCATAGGGAATTTGTACCTGTACGTGATATATATTGGGTTTTATTTTTTCTCATTCCATTTCCCTCCCTTCAATCCTTCTATCCCTCCTTATTTACAAAAGCCTTGTTCCCATTTTTTCCTCCTTTTCTCACCCCCCCCAGTTCCCCTTCCCCTTTGGACTCTTTCTTCCTGTTTCACAATATCTACTATACATTTTGGTCCTTATTTACACATTCAATTTCTCACACCAGAGAAACAATGCAGTATTTACATGTGTGTCTGATTTATTTCACTTAAGAGTATGGTCTCAAGGTGCATCCATTTACTGTAAATGTCTCAAGTTTACCTTTATTTATGGCTGAGTAGTACTCTATTTTATATTAAAACCACTTCTTTTTTATCCATTCATTGGTTGAAGGGCATTTGGGCTGTTTCCAAGATTTAGCTATTACAAACTGTGCTGCTATAAACATTGGTGTGCTTACAGTGCTGTGGTATGATGCTTTTAATTCTTTTGGGAAGATACCAAGAAGAGGAATAGCTGGGTCAAATGGAAGCTTTAGTTTTAGTTTTAGTTTGTTTGTTTTTTGTTTTTTGGGGTTTCTTTTTTTTTTTATTTGGGTTTTTTTTTTTTTTTTTTGGTACTAGGGATCAAACTTGGGACCTTGCACTTGTGAGGTAGGCACCGCAACCACTGAACTAAATCTCTGGCCCTCCTTTAGTTATAGTTCTTGAGGAATCTCCACACTGATTTCCACAGTGGTTATACCAGTCAACACTGCTAACAACAGTGGAGAAAAGTTTCTTTTTGTTCATAACCCCTCCAGCATTTGTTATTGATTGATTTCTTGAAAGAAGCCATTCTTTCTGGAGTGAGATGGAATCTCAGTGTTTTAGTTTGCATTTCACCAGTGACCAGTGTTGTTGAACATCTTTTCATATGTTTATTTGCCACTTCATCTGAGAAGTATCTATTCATTTCAGATGCCTATTTTTGGATTGAGTCTTTACATTTGGGTGTCTAATATTTTTGAGTTATTTATATAGTATAAGATAGTAGTCCTCAGCTGGAAAAAAATTTTCCCACATTATGGGTTGTCTTATCACTCTGTTGGTGGTTTCTCCTGCTGTGCAAAAGCTTTTAAATAAGATTATATCCCAGTTGTTGATTCTTTGTGATAGTTCCTGTGTGACTTGAGGTTTTGTTCGTAAGGTATTTTC